TTCACAGTTCCCTGCGCCATCTTGAAAGGCAGACGTGCCTTTATTTCATCGAAGTGAGACGAATGGTGAGCTTGCAATGACTATTTTCTTAAAATTCTGTTGCATACATTATACATAAGTTTTAATATTCCTTTCCTATTCCTAAAAAAATGAAAATTTCTAGCTAAGTATCTTGATTCTTACCTTGATTTGAAACCACATTGGTTACATGTATAGTGAATATCGACATCCAAAGCACTAGATGCATCGTAGATTGGACCAAAGGACGTAAATGAAWGTTTTCTACGCAATGAAATGAAAAATATGAACGATAAGCGAATTAAAGCGAGCCAGGTGGACACAAGGAAACCGACAATTACTAGCTGCATTATACAGCGCAGCGCAAATCTCTGGTAATTAATTTTCTTTGAACTAATAAAATATTTCTTCAGAAAMTTTTTTATGACAATGCTAGAACTAATTATCTATTGATTTATTCCCTTTCTTCCTTTTTTCTTTCTTTCTTTTTCTGTTTCTTTCCCTTTTCCGATCCCCCAATGCATTTTCTATCTTTTCTATTTTGTATTGTGAAATCGAGATCCAAAGTACTAGATGCATTGTAGATTGGACTCAAGTTTGTAAATGAATGTTCTTTACGCAATGAAATGAAAAATATGACAGATAACGAATTAAAACAAGCCATGTGGACACAAGGAAACCGAAAATTACGAACAGCATCATACCGCGCAGCACGAATTTCTGAAAATTGGTTTTCCTTGAACTAATAATAAGTGCTACACCTGGCGAAGTATGAGTTTTGCTTTTAATATTCTCCAGCATTGTTCGTCAGTTGCTTTTTCTTTGCTTCTACTTTTCAAAATTTTATTTTTTGAAAAGCATTTCCGTATTCGGAAATTATTTAGCCTCGATTTTGCGTAGACTTCGCGTAGACTCACCTCAGTGACGATTTCTAATGGACTTTGATTTTGAGGTCATGTGAGAAACTTTCAGAAGTGTTCCCTGAAAACTTTGACTTTGACCCAACATTTGTAATTATATAATAGATAGCTAGCTGACTAGCTTGGTGTAGCCCGTACAGGTCATAATTCCAGTCAACTTACACCCTAATATACTAAACTATATATTATCGTATATTCTAACGTATTACGTCGTAAAGGCACCAAATGAAAAGTGTCTATTCAGATTTCCAAAAATAATTTCCAACTTCAATATTATAAATAAATATCGAATTCAGAATTCTATATCCCAATTCGTAAAATAATTTTTAAATCCAGAAAATAGTTTTTATATCTAGAAAATAATTTCCAAATTCAGAAATCCTGAAATGTAATTTCAGTTTGGCCAGGTGGTACACAATAAGTGCTACACCTGGCCAAGTATGAGCTTTGCTTTTAATGTTCTCCAGCATTGTTYGTCATTTGCTTTTTCTTTGCTTCTACGTTTCATTGTACATTGTACATTTTACATTTATTTATGCTTCTACATTTTAAATCCAAGGACTATGAATATCTCTTAGTTTCTCTCTCTCTCTCTCTCTCTCTCTCTCTCTCTCTCTCTCTCTCTCTTCTGTTTTTCTTTCTTTCTGTCTCTGCCTTTTTTATCTTTTATCTTTTGTATTATGTATTCTAAAAGCACTGTCTTAGGAGCAAAACATTTGATTATCTTATTTAACACATCCAAATAGTAAGGAAAATTTCGAACATTTCCTTAAAAAGCYATATTTAGTACGGAATTCAAAAATTCAAAAATGATTTTAAAAATGAAAATAGGAAAGTTGGATGTCCTGTCTGAGGTCGTTTTCGAGATATTAGAGAGTTTTAGATTGACTTTTTTTCCTCCCCGCAAACAGCAAACGTGACCACGTTTTCATAGTTTTGCCGTATTTTACTTTACCTTTTATAACAAACCTTCTCACCAAACGCAAATACTCTTTTGTTTTTCTACTACTTGGACTTTTTTGCGATTCTTTTTCAGTAGTTTAAAAGAATTTTCTACTGGTCAACTGACGTTTCACGTTTGCCGTGAACGTAAATCTAAAACTCTCTATTGAATTTAGACTATTAACATTTTGACAAGTTTTCGAAATTAACTAAAATTGGCGGAAACCAAGATAAATAACTCACAAATTAAATAAGCTACAGAATTATTTTTCTCAGGATATCTACTTTAAACCTTATGGTTCATAATTTACTTAACATATTTGAAGTAAGTTTGAAAAATAAGCTCAAAAATTCAACATTTCGCTTTTTTAATAAACCGAAAATCGCATTATTCTTGGTTTGCAATCAATCCCAAGAGAGCACAATAATAAAAGGGATGTCCGCCATGTTGGAAGATATAACAAAAGAATTCATTGAAAAACCTTTTGTCGAATTCTTCCAACATGGCGGCTATGACGTCTATTGCAAACGAAGAATAACGAAAGCATATACAAATAGAATACGAAAGCAAATAGAACTCTAGTGATTTAGTGGGATAGGAATTATATTAAAAAACAAAAGAAGATCACTGAAGCTGAACTTTTTCTTTTGTATTTTAATGTATTCCTTTCTCACTAAATTRCTAATGTTCTAATATCGTATGACAACGTTCTTGCAAGTAGGTGTACGACGTTTTTTCTAAGTTCTAGTTATTATATGTTTTTAAAGTTTTGTCAAAATATTGCTTTTTACTGGAATATGATAACATCTGTTTATTTGTTTCATAGTTTCATGTTTTTCTTTATATTGCGCCTTAAAAAAATTAAAAAAATAAAAAAGCATGTGTTTTTCTCAAACAAACGATTGCGATGGGGTCCCGGGGTGAACTTACTCGTCTGTGACCTTCGACTGTTGACAGGCTACTCCTCCTCTTTTCCGTGTCTCCCACTCTCGTCTCTAATTCTTCTTTGACAAGTATTTCAACACAGGAACCCCAATTACGTTCTAGAGAATAAATATGGAGTATCCCGCGGAAGTGAATAAAGGAATTTCACTTACAATTTTGGTTTTGGTTTTTGTTTTTACTGTTTTACTTTTATTTTTCATCACTGCTTTCGACCTTGAAGAGGGATTTTTCTGGGTACCCACTAGACGTCCCCTCGTTCGGCTACAGCTTACTAATCAGTCCTCTGTAGAGTCTTGCTGTAAATTGCTGTACATGTCAGCAACTGGATGTGCCTAAAAACTTAAATAATACATGATACATAAAGTTTTCGAGTTTTCGTTTTTTATTCTATCTAAAAATGGATATATTTACTACGAATCAGTATTATATTTAGAACTAGTCTATTTGGTTAGAAAGCATTTGTAAATAGAAGTTTTGCAACACCACGTGGCTACAGCAGGTGGCAGCAACGATACTATCGTTTTTGTAAGCCATTGCGAAATTTGAGCATGCCAATATGCAATAAAGGGTTTATATTGTCAGCTAGTTGGGAGAAAATCTATCCTCTATTGGTTGTAGTTGCGAAGCAACGAAGACCAATACGGGATATATCTTTTTCCAACGCCGTCAATATAAACCGGTATTTGCGAATCAATTCGCAATACGTTTTGTATCAAGTTTTTCCTATCGCAAGGTAATGGACTACTTCGAAGATACGGCGGTCATCTTGCCAGGGGCAAAATAAAACAAAGATGAAGGATAATGTATAGAGCTTTGTGTTTTTGTCTTTTAGGTAAAGATGGTCGATTTACCGTCTTTGTTTTTAATTCATCTCTTGTTTTATTTTCTTGTGGTGAGCTGTAAATATCAATCTACGTCATTACTGTAAGAAAGCTTTAACTTCTCCCCAGAGGATCGTAATGACTTGCGATCCAACATGACCGCCGCATCGTTGAAGAAGTCCATTGTGAACGGTTTTTTGGCGGCTATCTTCCGATCGTACTTATAGGAGAATCGCGATACTGCATTTACGAGCGTTTTGAATATTATTTCTGCATATATTTTCATATGATTTTATCCATGCATAACTTGTTATTAGGTACTTCTGATAAGTATTGTACCCATTTAAGATTACATAATTTAATTTAAATATAATGTTACCCAGTGAACTAGCTATAAATCTAGGTTAATTAATTTATTCATACGTTCTATTTCAGGCGTATATAGTTGTAAGAGATTCTATACATTAGTGCCTGTAATTGAGTCCAGTACTGATACATTGTCCTTATCTTTTTTAATTTACGACTTTCCATACATCAGCACAGACTCACAAAAATTTCAGTCAAGGCTCCAAATTTTAAATTTGAATATTCCTTTGAAASTACTTTAAAACTGGAAAGTACGAGTAGTGTTCGATACAAAAGCATCACCAATGCGACCCGAGTTCGTATGTGAGTAGAGTTGCTTGTTGGTTGTCTCCTGTGCTTGGAGAGTTTTTCTCAAGGTTCTCCAGTTAAACATCAACTTAATACAACAGTTTCGGATTCGATGCATGCCACTGTTTTTGAAGACCACAAACTAATTTGCACAGGCTTAGCCTCTCTTATTGCTGGGTTGCACTAGTCATCAGCTGAATCACAGGTTTTCAATAAATTTTTTTCTGGCTGACAGCACATGGTTGTCAGTCAGTTAAACTACCATGTGGAGCAGATAATGAGATTCAAAAACTTTTATCAGCTGAGGGAAAGCCAGCAATAGACCTTTCCCTAATTCGCTTGACTGACCACAAAATAATGGTTTGAAGTCGCGATTGGACTTGATTCTTTTATTCATCAAGTTCAACCTCAACTTGAAGCCATTGTTTCGTGATCAGTCAAGCGAATTCGGAAAAGGCCTATAGGTAAGCTATTTCTACATACCATTAAAAGTCCGTGGGATTTCAAAACATCGATATTGTTCAAGTTGCACATTCTTAAAATAACAGTTGACTTTTGAAAATGATTTGTTCTTAAGTAAGGGTAAGCCTGTGCAGACAAGTCTTTAGTAATAAAACACAGCGGTATTTACCGAATGAGAAAAGGGACGTGAAGGGACATAAGTAAGGTTAGGTAATGAAAGCGAGTGTTCTAAGGGATATAGAGTCCCGTGCAATAGATAGAAGACCACGAGGGTGAACGAAATCCTGATAAATTATCATCAAGATTTAAAGACACAAGTTCAAGATTACGCTTACCGCACGCTACATAAAGGAAACGAACTAGTTAACACTAAAAAGCCAAAAGTTGATCATCTCCCAAAAAAATTAAATCGTTAAAACATTTTATACCTAAGGAAAAAGGCTTGCAAGAAAAAAACAATAAAAAATACATACAAGTAATTGTCACAGCTTAGCCTAAGGGATCATGTGAAGTTGACAAAAATGTTTAAGCGAATCGATAAAATGTCAAACTTGATTTCACGAGGGTATGTTCAAGAGTTTGCATGAATAAACTGATGAACCTCATCGTTTTCCACCTGACTT